CCGCTCACGCGCTGCGCGCTGCTTGGCCTGCAGGGCAGCTGCCAGGTAGCTTCCCTCCATCACCACGGGCCGCTCAGCCGCGGCCGACGCGCCGCGCGGCGCCGCCGCCGCGGTTGCTGCAGCTGTCCTGTTGCCGCCGCGCTGCCGCGGGGTGGGCTGCCTGGCCCGTTGGCTGGGGCTGCCGGACCAGGCGCCGCGGGGAGAGGCGCTGCGCGGCGTGTGGCCACAGGCAGGGGGCGCGCACTGCTGGGGCTGGCTGTTCGGCGGGCCTGAAGCAGCCCCGCAGATTTCCTGGCCGGCCGAACTGTGTGCCTCTGGCCGCTCGGCTGCCAATTCATTTGCGGCCATCTCGCTGCTTGCCAGGGCGTCTTGCCAGCCTTGAACTGCGCCGCCCTCCTGGTGCCCCTGCTGCTGGTGCTGCGGCTGCGTTCCCTGGTCTTGGAGCGCCTGCTGATGTAGCGCTTGGTGTTGACCGGGTGCGTCCTCCTGGTGCCGATCGTCGGGGCGATGCCGCAAAAGCAGGTGCTGCTGCTGCTGCTGCTGCTGCTGCTGCTGCTGCTGCTGCTGCGCCGCTGCCTGCTGCATGGCCATCTGCTGCACCGCTGCCTGCTGCATGACCATCTGCTGCTGCTGCTGCTGCTGCTGCTGCTGCTGCTGCACCGCTGCCCGCTGCGCTGCCAGCTGCTGCGCCGCTGCCTGCTGCACGGCCATATGCTGTGCCACCACCTCCTGCGCGGCTGGTTCCTGCTCCGCCATGCACTGGGCTGCAGCAAGCTGTGCGCAGGGAATCGTGGCCACCCACGTCGCTCCGGCCGCTCGTCGGGGCGCCGCAGCCAGGGCCGCCTGCGGCTGATGCTGCACGGCCGCGTGCCCCCACCAATGGCCGCCATCATCCTGCCGCCGCACCGGGTCACCCGCATGTGCGCCTCCCAGGTCTGCCGCCCCCCGCTGCAATTGCATGTGCGGCCCATGGCAACAACCCTCTCCTGTGCCCGCGAAAGCCTCCAGCGCAGCCGCGGGCGCTGCCGCCGCTGCGCCGCCCGCGAGTGCGGCGGCGGACGGGGCGCACGGCGCCGGAGTGAGCGCCACGGCCGCCGCGCAGCAGTGTTGGCGGCGCGCGAGTGATAGGGAGGCTTCCAAGTCGTCCAACACGCTTGCGGCCAGCCCGGCCTGTGCGGGCGCCATATGCGGCGCCGCCGTCGAGTGCGAGGGACTCGACGAGCTGTCCCAGTCGGGCGCGCAGCCGCCTGGCATGGCGTGTTGGTTGCCCATGCAGCCGGGGCTGCCGCAGCGCGGCTGCTCCGCCGCCACGCAGCTGTGCATACGTTGCTGGGCGACACCGGCCTGGTAGCTGATGGCAGCTGCCTTGGCCGCGCCCCTGACGTTCCCCTGCATCAGCACCTGCACCTGCTGACTTGGCTGCTGCTGCGGATGCTGCTGCTGCTGCTGCTGCTGCTGCGGCAGCGGCAGCGTCCTCTGCTGTTGTTGCTGCTGCTGCTGCTGCTGCTGCTGCTGCGTGGGGGCCAGCGGCGAAACCTCCACCTGCGGACTCGAAGCTTCCAAAGCTCCCACACCAGCCAGTGTGCAGCCGGGTGAATCCATCCGCCTTGGCGTCGCGCCGCCAGCATTGAGCGCCGCTCCTGACGCCGGCGTGAGGCGCGGCGCCGGCTCAGAGCGATGCGCCGCTGCCGACGCCGCCTCAGCGCTCGTAACAGCTGCAACAGCTGTCGTTTGGGGGGCGCTCAGGTCCTCGCCGCCGACGCCCAGAGGCTGAGATAGGGTGCGCATGTGAGCGACAACGGCCCCCAGGCCCATCGCCTCAAACTCGCCCTTTATCGCCCTCCGCAGCTGCGACAGCCGCCCCATCTCCTCCCACAAACGGTCCATGTCAGGGCGCTCCGCTTGCTGCTGCACCTGCGGCTGCGCAGGCACCCGCTCCGCAGCTGCCGCAGCCACCACCACAACTGGCGCCGCCGCTGCTGCACCAGCTGCTGCGCCGGCCACCGCCTTTGCCTTCCCACCGGCCGCGGCCTCCGCGGCGCCGCAAGACGCAAAGCTGCGTCGGGGTGTGCAGCAGCGGCTGCTATCGTGGTCGCACGTCGCGGAATTCACGGCAGGCGCGGGGGTGCTGCGCCGCAGGCTAGGGCTGGGGCACACCCCAAACTCAAAGCTTGCGGCTGAGTCGCCGATGGTGGAGTGAAAGGAGCGCGTGGCAGACAGAGCGCTGCCGCAGCCGCTGCCTCCGCGGTCCGCGCTGCCGCTGCGGCTCGCACGGCCGGCCGCGTCGTGTGCCACGCCGGGGGCGCCCGCGCTGCCGCTGCTGCTGCCGCACTCAACGCCTTGGAGCTGCCCCGCGCTGCGGCGGTTGTGATCGATGCGCAGCCCGCCGACCGCGTCCTGCGCCAGGCTGGGCGCGCCCGCGCCGCCGCTGCTGCCGCTGCAGTCCGCGCCTTGCCGCTGCCCCGCGCTGCGGCGGTCGCGGCCGCCGAGCGGCAAGTCGTCGTCACAGCTCGGGCTGCTGCTGCGGCTGGCCTGTTGTGGCCCGCCGCTGTTGCTGCGTTGCAAGGCCATTGTCAGATGGCACCCGGCTTTCGCCTGGACAGCGGGCCACTTCCCTGCTGATAACCCGGCCAGGACGCCGCCGCCGGCGCCGCCGACGCTACTGCCACTGCTCGGCACCGGCGCCGCGAGCTGCGCCAGCAAGCCGGGCGACGGCCGCTGCGCGCCGGGCGGCCCCCGCCCTATCAAGGGCGCCGAGAGGCTGCGGCCCGCCCCCGCGTCTGAGCGCCCGCAGGGCAGCGGTAGCTCCCGCCCGTCCGGCAGGCTATCGAGCGACGCCTGCTGCGCCGCCGGCGCTGCCCTGTGGCGGTGCGCCGCACTGACGCCCCTGCGCAAGGGCTGGGCTGCGGGAGTGCAGAAGAGGTGCTCGGCGCTGGAAAACGTGCAGGTCAGCTCATGCATGCTCGGGCCGCCGCCGCCGCCGCGGCATGCAGGAGGAAGAGCGAGTGGATGGCCGAGGCTGGCGCTGACGCAGCCGTGTGGCTGCAGGTCCACGCGATCCTCCCCCTGCTGCTGCTGCTGCTGCTGCTGCTGCTGCTGCTGCTGCTCCTGCTTCTCTTGCTGCTGCTCATTCCGATACCTCAAGCTGACTTTGGATGCCGCTGCCTCCGGAGCCAGCAGTATCGCAGCCCGCACTTGCGGGGCAGCAGTCAAAGAGGCGCCCGGCAGCGGCCCCCGTGCTGCCGCCGCCCATCTCGACGGCGGGGCCGCAACCGCGCCGATGCCCTTAGCAGGTTCGCCGGCCCGAACATCCTTCATGCCCGCCATCGCGTCCTGTTCCTGCTGCTGCCGCTGCTGGTGCTCCTGCTGCACCTGCTGCTGCTGCTGAATCTGCTGCTGCTGCACCTGCTGCTGCTGCAGAATCTGCTGCTGCTGCACCTGCTCCTGCTGCTGCTGCTGCATCTGCATCTGCTGCATCTGCTGCATCTGCCGCGCAGCCTTCTCCATCTGCAGCCGGTCCATCATCGCCTGCAGCTGCGCCCGCCTGCCCGCCGGGCCCTCGCCCGCGCCGCCGCCGCGGGCGGCGGCAGCAGCCGCCTGCAGCTCCTGCCGCTGCAGCAGCTGGTCAAACCCCTGGTCGGCAGCTACCTTCAGCTCTTGCCAGGTCAGCGCGGCGGGCGGCGGCGAGGCACCGGGCGGCGTCCCCTGGCCTGGGGGAAGCTGCTGATCAGTGGATTCCGCCTGCTGATCGCAACGCGGCGGTGTTCGAGGGCATGCGTTCAAGGGAGGGCGAGGCTGATTGCATTGACATACATGCACATACATGCGGGCCATGCAGCACGCACAGCACTGGGGCGGAGCTTGCGACGTGCCGTCTTGGCCATGCCCAGCGCGTCGGCAACCGAGGCGGCAGCCCGAGCACGTGCGTGAGCGCGTGCGCGCCTGGGTGTCGAGCTCGTCAGGCGCGTCGCCGCAGCTGGCGCGCTGCCGCTGCATCAAGTCGCGCAGCCCCTCCCGCCACGCGCGCCGCTGCCGCTCCTGCTCCTGCCGCCGCTCGGGGCTGCCACAGCCCCCGCCGCTGCCGGCCCGGGCCACGGACGGGGCCGGGGGCTGCGGCCGCTCTGCGCCTGTCCGCGCGCGAGGGGGGGACGGGCCATGGCAGCGGGCGCCCTTCCTTAAAATCTGCTTGGATGGGGGCAGCGGCGGCAGCTGCGGGCGCCGCATGAGGTCGTCCATTCGCTGGCGCTGCTGCTTCCGGCCCTCCAGCGCCAGCTTGGCCTGCGGGGCGAGCGGCAGGCAGCGATGTTGGGCGGCGGTAAACAAGATCGCGCGACGCAGGCCGGCGCAGGAACCGGCATCAATACATCAGAGGTATTGCCCATCCGATGAGTCTTTCGACAAAGATACGATGCAACTTGTGTGGGCAAGAGGGGCCGCGTTGTACATATGAGACTCATGATGCAGGCCGCGACCGCGCAGCTCACCTGCAGCGCCTCATCCTCGCGAGCTTTCTTGTCGAGATCCTCGTACCTCCTGCATCATAGCACATGCCGCGGAGTGATGGCCCCGACCGGTTCGAGCCCGCGAAACAGAGCGCTGCGAGGCCACCCGAGCGCAAATCAGCTCACTTCTTCCTCGCCTCCGTCTCTTTGATGTTCTGCCTCCACCTCCTCTCCTGACTGGCACGCATCGCGGCGTTGCAGGGCGGCCGACGCCGCAGTCAACGCCCCATTGATTGACCCTGCTGCTGGCTCAAAATGCACGTCTCTTGAAGAGGTACCTTGCCGAACTATAGAATTTTGAAATTCAGCTTCATTGTGGCCACTTGCGATGAACTTGGCATGTGCCCGAGGCAGGCAGTGGCTTCCTGCATAGAAGGAACTCGACAGCGGTCGCAGGGTGACGGCATGTCCGCGGCAAACAAAGCGCCGTGCGCTGCTTGTCAATGTACCTTTACCATCGTCACGTCTGGATCCTCCCACCATATCACGCCGGCCACAATGCAGGCCATTCGCTGCTCCTCGCGCCCATTGGTGCACCAGCAGCGTCCGACCCTGCTTGCGGGCCTTCCCCTCCGTTCTAGGGCGTCGATCAGGCCTAAGGTGGCAGCTCTTGACCCCGTTACGATCCCCGCGGACGAGAGGGGCTTCCGCCTCAACCCGGGTGCGTTGTGGGTGGCGCTGCCATGGCCCCAGGCGAGGTATTGAGGCTCCACTGCACTCTTATCGCGCAATCCGCGTCACGTTGAACCATATTACGAGCGTATGCCTGCAGCTGCCCCGGGGTCCCGAGCGGCCGGGGCGCTGCCAGCCAGCTTCACTGCAGACCGCGGCAGCGTGTCCGCTTCCCCACCCTCTCTCCCCCCGTCCCCACCCTGGCGCACCCCAGATGGCACCCACGACCTGTCGGCGCCGCCGCCGTTCAGCCTGACCGACATCCGCAACGCCATCCCGGCGCACTGCTGGGAGAAGAACACGTTCAAGTCGTTTGCGCACCTGGCTTTGGACGTCGGCATCGTGGCCGGCCTCGCCGCGGCCGCCTACGTCGCCAACAGCTGGTGGGCGCCCTGGTCCCCACTGGGTCTGCAGCAGCGGCGCGCACCCCAGTCCGCAGCGCGGGCGGCGCCGGCGCGGGGCTGCGCCCCGCCCCCGCTGCACGCCACGCGCCGCGCACGCGCGAGCGCGGCAACAGGCGTCCTGTGCCGAGCAGAGGTGGCCCGCTGTTGCCCGCACACACCTCACGTGCACCACGCCGCGCCGCGCAGGTTTGTCTGGCCGCTGTACTGGCTGGCGCAGGGCACCATGTTCTGGGCGCTCTTCGTGGTCGGCCACGACTGCGGCCACCAGTCGTTCAGCCCCAGCCGCACCCTCAACGACTTCGTGGGCAACATCGTGCACGCGAGCATCATGGTGCCCTACCACGGCTGGCGCGTCAGCCACCGCAAGCACCACGGGGTGAGCCGAGCGCGCGGCATCGGCGTGTGGAGGCTGCAACGCGCGGCAGCTCCGCGCGCGAAAACTGAAACGCGCAGCTCAGACCCGCCTGCACGCATTTCTCTGCGCCTGCCCCCTGAGCTTCCCCGCGGGCGCGTCAACCGACCCGCCGCAGAACCACGGCCACGTGGAGAACGATGAGTCTTGGTACCCGACCACCAAGTCTCTCTACGACAAGATGGACGAGTGGACCAAGCTGGGCCGCAACTACTTCCCCACCACGTTGTTCGCCTACCCCTTTTACCTCTGGAAGCGCTCCCCTGGTGGGCGGGCGGCGGCGGACGTGCGGGAGCAGGGCGGGCGCCGCGACGCGGAGGGGGACTCGGAGGGGCCGGGCACAGCGGGGTTGAGTGCGGCGGGGGCCGGGCGGCTGCGGTGCGGCGCGGCGGGGTGGGGCGTGGCGCGGGCGGGCGACGAGGGGGCACGAGGGTGCGGGCAGCCGTGAGCTAACAGCGCCCAGTTTGCAGCGGGGTGCGTGCGAAGCAGTGCGAAGCAGAGCCTGTGGGCCGCTGCTAGGCGGCCGCGGGCGAGCGCTGGCGCCGGCTGCGGGTGGCTGATTTCGGTGCCCTCTCGGCCTCATCTTTCGCGTCCGCAGGCAAGACCGGTTCGCACTACGACCCGTCGTGCGACCTGTTCGTGCCGTCCGAGAAGAACATGGTGCTAACCTCGGACGCGTTCCTGGTCGGCATGGCCGCGATCCTGGTGGCCGCGACTGCCAAGTTGGGCATCCTCGCGATGTTCAACCTGTACTTCGTGCCGTACTGGGTGTTTGTCATGTGGCTGGACACCGTGACGTACCTGCAGCACCACGGCAGCAGCGACCCCGCCGAGAAGCTGCCCTGGTACAGGTGACAACTGCCGGCGCGCTGGGGGGCGGGTCAACGCGGCTGGCAGCCCAGTCGAAGCTCTCTGCTCAGCAGCAGCGCTTCTCCTTGTGGGAGGCCTGGTGGACGGCAGCTTCTCCAATCGTCCTCAATCGTGGCCTTTGTGCCCTGGTGGTGGTCTCTAGCAGTAACGCGTCCCCGCGCCGAACCGCACTCCGGGACCCTTGGCGCGCACCGATCCCCCCCCCCCCTCGCACCCGCGCCCACGGTGCACCGAAACGCCAAAACCAAACCCAGGGGCGAGGAGTGGAGCTACCTGCGCGGCGGCCTGACCTGCCTGGACCGCGACTATGGGATCTTCCACAAGGTCACCCATGACATTGGCACCCACGTCGTGCACCACCTGTTCCCCCAGATCCCCCACTACAACCTGCAGGACGCGACCGCCGCCGTCAAGCCCATCCTCGGGTGCGCGCGCGGGGCGGGGTGGCGGGTTGACTGGCGTGGGCCTCCCTCACGAGGCGGGGCGGCGCGGGTCGTCTGCGTCGCGCACGCTGTCTCCTCAGGTCACCATATTCCGGGCCGGCCGCGCTCAGCCCGCCCTCTGCCCTTGCATCGCCTCCTAAACCCCAAACCCTGACCCCTCACCCGCCCCCCCCACAGCCCCTACTACCGGGAGCCCGTCAAGTGCGCCCCCCACGGCGTGCCGCTGCACCTGCTCGAGCCCCTCAAGCGGTCGTTCGGCGAGGACCACTTTGTGGCTGACGAGGGCGACATCGTGTTCTACCAGAAGGACGAGAAGCTGGGCAAGACGGCGGCGTGAATTCACGCCCGGCCTGTGCTCTGAACTTTTCGCCGAGAACAGGCCCGTTGGCCCGCGCGCTCGCGGCCGCTCGGCCGGCGCGGCGCGCGGGGGCTGGGCGCGTGGTTGGGACATTTGGACGCTATTCTGGGTTTGCTGCGCTGCGCTGAGAGGTCTCTTTGGTTGGACGGTTATGGACGGCGCGCGGCCTCTTGTAGGGCCGCGCGCGCCTGTTTGTGTCGCGGCGTCACCCGCTAACGGTCCGGTCGGGTTTGTTGCAGTTGCGAGCGGTGCCGCTGAGCGGCGGCTGTACCATCCAAGTGACAAAGCGCCTAGTCTTGAGCGAGAGCGGCTGCGGCGACGCTGCACCCCAGGAGCTAAACCTGCACGCGGGCACGCCCTGCACCCTGGCCCAATGTCTAGGAAATGCCGGGCGGCGCGTGAGCACAGCCCTATGGCCGCCGTACAGGCGGCGAACCACACAACGTCGCGACGTGCACGAGTGGAATTCCGCCTGCGTCTGAGCACCCACATGCCGGCCTTGTAGGTCGTCGCTGATCGTAGCCGTTATTTCGAACCACTTGTTTCTGCTCCCGCACCCCCGCGGGTGCGACTGCCCACCTTTGACAGCCGCGCGCCCCTTGTGTTGCGCAACTTGTGGTAGCAGGCGGGCGTGGCACTTGCCTGCATGTGCAGACTGAGATTGGGGTAGCCGTGTTGCCGTATGCGTGATGCATAGGGTCCTCTCCCCCTCAATTGCACGCAAACCCTGGCGAACAAGCCTGCCGGCGCCGCCACTGTGCACGGCCCCGCTGCGGCGCAGTCGGGGGCCCGCATCCCAGTGCGGCAGCCGCCGCCGCCGCGCGCTCCATTCTTCAACCAACAACCTGTGCGCTCCGGCGCTGTCCCCCCTCTTGCACTTGAAACGAGTAAACCTGTCCTTCAAAGCCCCAATCGCCACCCAGTCAGTGGGACGCACGTTACATCAACACGTGGTCCCTCAAAGGCTCAAAGTTCGCTGCACTTGTCAGCCAAACATCGGGCCTCGCAAAACAGCAGAAGCTGGGGAGGCGGCCTGACCCACTAGTGAAATGCTTCATGCGCGCAGCGACACTCCCAGCGGGGCAGCACCATGCGGGTGGAATAGACCAAGCAGGAAGGGTCAAAACCTGGCCAATGGCGAGGGTGGTAGATGGCAGCAGCGCGCCTTGCACCCATTCAACTCAAGCAGACAACACGCGCGCGTGATATGACAGTGCATCAGGTCGCGGCCACCATATTGAGCAGCAGCCCAACCACAGAGTCCGGCAGCACCCCGGCCTGCCGCCGCGCGATCGCCGCGCCCGCCGCCGCGGCCGCCGCCGCCGCCTCGCCGCGCGCGTTGGCTAGCGGGCGCCCGGCGCGCGCTCGGAGCTCGGCGAAGGCGGCCGCGTTGGCGTAAAACTGGCCGGTGGCCGGATCCCGGTACCGCGCCGGCGCGCCGGTGATGGGGCAGACGGGCGGCGCCGGCGGCGCCGGCGCGTGCTGCGACCGCAGCCACGGCGGCGGGGCGCGCATGTTGGCCCACTGCAGCGTCGTGACTGACTCGCAGTGGCGCTTGCGCCGCCGCTTGGGCTTCTGCTGCTGCTGCTGCTGCTGCTCCTCCTCCCCCTGCTGCTGCTCCTCCTGCTCTGCTTTCCCTGGCCCCCCCTCCGTCTGCGCCTGCCCCTGGCCGTCCTTCTGCTGCCCGGCGCCGCCCTCCTGTGCCGCCGCCGCCTCAGCCTCAGCCTTCGCTCCTGCCTCACCCTTTCGCTCGTCCCCGCCGCCGCCAGCGCCCTCGTCTGCGCCGTCCTTGCCGCTGCCGCCTCCGCCCTCCGCTCCCTTGCCCTCCTGCTCGCCATCCCCCTGCTCCTCTTCGCCCTCCTCCTCCCCCGGCGGCGGCGCCACGTCCTTCGTGCGGCTGCGCAGCTTCACCATCGGCCCCGTGTACTGCTTTTTCACCACCGACGCCTTGCGCTTGGTCTCCTCCTCCTGGGCCAGCAGAAGCCGGAGGGACGTCAGGTTCTCCACCTCGGTGCGCGCCGCCTCAGCAAGCAGCTCCTCCTGAGTCATCACGCGCCAGGTGGCGTCCTTCGGCGCGGCCCTGCGCACGGGCTTGAGGGTCTCCCGCATCTCCCGCTGCGCGGCCATCTCCGCGCTGCGCTTCTGCGTCGAGCGCCGCAGCGTCGGCGCGGCGTAGAACACCTCGGGCGCTGGCG